AATTATGAACTTTATAAATTTTTTGTAAAGTCAGCACTGAGCTCTGCTGGATATACCTCTACCCCGGCCCCCAATTTTTTAAATATATTACAGAAGAATCTACGGTAATATTGGAGGTGGCAGTTAAGATTATAAAGCTTCTTCTGAATACAGAAAGTATCTGCTCTGTTTTAGAATCCTATTTGGGTACCATTATCTCTCAGAATTGATCAATTTATTGTGGCCACAGTCAGTTATGTAACGAACATACCATAAACACCCTCTATGCTCTCTGTGGTGTGATCATTTTTAGACATTCCTTTTTGGTAATTGGTAATGAATGACTTCCCATATAATATTTGTGCAGAGACATCCTTAAGGCTTAAAGACATCAGTCTCTCTTGGTCGCCACTATTAATGGTACCAAGTACTATTATTCCTCCTTTTATTCAGCAGAGGGATCACATGGCCTAAGATGACCCTGCTCTCTAGGCAGCAGGTAGCCCACAGAGAACCTTGCTTGACACATTCCACACTTTGTAGTCAATTAAAGAACCTCAATCACTTTCAGACTGACACCTCTATTTCCTAAAACTGCAAGTGAGGGCAGGACTGCAACCAATCAGAGTCAAAATCTGAGCTGCTGGTCTTTTAAAGTTACCTGAGTCCCCATGTACTTCTCCAAATGTGGCAGAAAGGAAATCTGATGTGCAATGAAGGATGGTGCAAAAGTAACTTTAGAGCACCCACGAACCTGTTATTTCCATCTTCAAAGTGTACAACAAATCTACAATAAATAAAATCATGTAGGACTAAAATAAGGAACAAATTCTAAGATCAATTCAAAAGAATTGAAAATTCAGAGAGCTAAAAGAAAAAAAATGAACAGAGACCACAAATGTCCCCAAAACAATAGAAATGAGATCTGCCCTCCGGAGGAAACCTGACAGAGGGATTGGAATGGAATTGGGAAGGGGAAAAAATCCAATAGTTGTGGAGGGAAGTGCTGACTTTCAAAGACAGCAGAATTTTTTTGCTGAGTACTAGTAAGAAAGGCTTTGGTTACAAAACTTCATGCTTTCACAGAATAATCCCAGGGTGATACTTCCTTCACCATAACAGCACCAGCAGTTTAGTACTCATCAATAGGAGATGCTGACCCATAGGGTCCCCCAAGCAGCACCAGGAGTAATTCCTGAGACAGATCCACGTGCAAAATCTCCATACCATGGAGTGTGACCCCAAAACGAAGAAAAAAGCGAACAGGCCATGTCATGTGGAACAATTCAGCCAACAAACCACCCCGGCTTTTGCAGAACACCTGCAGAGCTCCATGATCGATCGCAAGGACTTGATCATCAAGAGGGTGAAGCCAGGCTGCAGCAAGGTGGCATCATCGTGCTGGACGTGGAGAAGAAGATTGGTGCCTTGTTCAGATCCTGGGCAAGCCCCTCGGGCCCCAGCTGCAGGACAAGGCCCACCTGCTGAATCTCTGGCTCTTGTACACCGCCGACCTGATCTTGTACTCTACCGACCTGAACCCAGACCCTGAGCCCAAGGCCCCCGCACCCGCCCCCTCCCCCACTACAAACGCCTCCTGAGTTGCTCTAGCCCCACCGTCCCCAAAGTTTGGATGCTTCAGAAAAAGCAGCTCTGATGGGACCAAAGCGAGCGTATGCATATGCAGGTTCTAGAAACTTCCTACAGTAAATATCTTTTTTCTCTTTTTTTTAATAATCCTAGCCTAGTCTCCTCCAGAACATGTCTTAAAGACACCAGGTGTATATACATATTTTATTGAGTTATTTTTTATTTTGCATGCGGCAGGCCCAAAACTATACGCACTGCTTACCATTGCCATCCAGATGTGAAAAAAAAAATTTTAAAAAAGCCATCAACATCACTTCAAAAGCATCCAAGCTGCTTCAGAAAGACCGGAAACACTGAGTCTCCCTCATGGGGAGCAGGCCGCCCCCCGCCCCCTACAACTGTCTATTGATGATGAACTCTCACTCGGTAGCCATACTCCTGCATTCTCCTGTCATGAATTCAGGATAGGGGTGAGGCCCTAGTTGGGCACATTAGAAACCTATGGATATTCAAAGGCTACAATTAAGCATTTTTTTAAAAAGGAAAAAAATAGGATATACTGAATAATAAGAATTTCATCTAGAAGCACACCAATCCTGCCATGTTTTCCATGGCAAAAGCAGGACCCAATATGAAAGACTCCCAGATCTTCCCCTGCAAAATCAAAATGACTGGTTGGATGGCAAGCACAAAGATTTTGGCAGGGTGGAATAGGATATGAATATTGCAGAAGCCAAGAATGGCACAATCACCCAAAATATAATGATTTCAGACTGTGGACAATTCTATGGCTTATAAGTTTTGCAATTGCTCATTATTAAATAATGAAAATAAATAAAACAATGTATGAGCTGTTCAAAATATTACTGAAGGGGCTAGATTGAGAATACAGAGCATAGGAAGTTTGCCTTGCACGTGGCTGACTCAAGTTCGGTCCTGGCACTATAGCTGCTGCCCAGAGTCTTTCTATGACAAAACTGGTTTGTGTCTTGCTTTTGTTTCCATACCTCACTCAACGCTGGCAAGGAGCTGCTATTCTGGAAAACTCAATCTCTTAGGAATACACACATCAGGGTTTTGTTCTTTACCTTTTTGAGTCAAAAAAATTTAAAACAGTAGAGCTAGACTGCTAGTACAGCAGGTACGGCTGGATAAATTGTGGGGGGGGGGGAGACAAAACAGGTGAAGGTGACCAGGAATATTATTTCCTTATGAGAGGAAACTAGTAAGTGGAAGAAAAGTTTGTGTTCACCAAGGGGTGGCAGACTTCCCCCGATAATCCTGACCATCCTACCGAAAGAATTTAATAGATTGTGTGACATACTCACAGAAATTTCAATCATGTTCATTAGAGCCTACTAATAAACTTGCCATGCACACAGCTTAGCCAGGTTCGATCCCTGAGATTAGAATCAAGAATAAGACCTGAGCACTGGTGGTGTACCCATCCCTATTAATCCCCCGCCCCCAAAATTAAAATGAACCAAAAAGAGATTATTTCTCCCCATAGAGGAACAATGTGGGGTAAGCAGAATGAGGAGCAGAGCTCAAGTGATACATTTTCCCTATTAGAGGACACAACGGAAGAACACCCTGATGTTCAAGGGGTGGCACAATTCTTCTAGTCAGTCCAAAGCATTCAACAGATTTCCTGCAGAGCCAATCAAAATTCCAATGACGCTATCCACCAGAACTTGCAGCTTCCAGGGTCGTCATGGGCCAAAGTCGCTCCACATCATGGGCTGCTTCACTCAAATTCATTGTGACGTGTAGTAGGATCTTGGAACCAAACACAGGTTGTAAAGCAGCAGAAGAGCACAGACAGAACATACAGGAAGGAAAGATTCTAACTTGGCATGACCATGAAATTATGCAGACTTCTATCCAAAACATAAACATAAGACTCTTAAGATACAGGAGCCAGCCATGCCAGTTTTCCCAATCTTCCTCAACTCTACTTCAAAAGCTCACAGAATTTCTAAGAGATACCTATGAAAACACCTTTGGGATGGTGCTCTTTGAGGAGGTGACTGTGAACTTCACGTGAGAAGCATGGCAGTTCCTGGCTAATGAGCAGAGGACCCTGTTCAGTGACATGATACTGGAAAACTACAGGACCTGGAATCATTGGGACATTCTGTCATCACACCTGAAGCAATCAATAAGTTGAAGCAAAGAGTAGAGCCATGAAAAAATAAAAATAAAACAAGGAGTAGAGCCATGGATGATAGATAACTCAAAACAGAAAAAAAAAAACAGAGCCTCTCAGGAGAGAAACACTATAAATAAAAATAATGTAGAAAAACTTTCTCAAGGAAGCCAGCCCTAATTCAACAAGAAAGAATTCACACAGGAGACAAACCCATAGAGCATGAAATATAGGCAACCCCTGAGCTTCACCAGGTCTGACCAAAAAAACCCCAATTATTTGAAATTTTAAAAAATAAAACTCCCAAAGCTTCACTAAAAAAATTAAAAAGAAAAGAAAATAACAAACTTGCTAGACTGAAGGAATACAATGGTGACTCTCAGAGAGAAGGAGTAGGTAGTGGAAGGAACCAGCTCGGTCTTTTTGGTGGTGGGATAGCACCCAAAGCTTGGTGATGGATGTTGTGACAGTTATACACATATAAAGGTATGAAGCTAACAGCAGAACCTTCACAATATTTCAAACCAATTTTAAGCCAAATTTGAAAAACTACATTTTTGTACGAGGTGAATTTTGTTGTGTGAATTTCTCAATAAAAATAAATTGCAAGGAACAGATGTGGAAATGTATCAACCAACAAAATGGTTCAGGAAAAGACACATCTCAATATACACAGAACAGACTAACAGCTTCATTACGGTATCTATATCACGCTATTTAAACTGAATTAAGTCACACATCTCTATGGTTTAACTGCCAAATGGAAAGTCATCGAACACAGATAAAAATTCAAGAACTAATATTTTCCCATTTTTTAAATATTTCTAATCCTTCTTGGGGGGGTATAGGTTTTTGGATCTATATCTGAACCCATTTAGCACATGTAATCTGATTAATGGCAAATATATTCCCAAGGACAACAAACTGTGCTTAAAAATTAAGAACATTCGGCAATGGAAAGATAAAAAAGCAAGTCAGGCGTGTGAATTGCACATAGCTAACATGTGTTCAATCCCCATGGCATCCAATATGGTCTCCCAAGCACTGCCAAGAGTAATATCTGAGTGCAGAGCCAGGAGTAATCACTAAGCATTGCCAGGTGTTACCTGCCTCCCCCACCCAAAAAAGTAAGGACATCAGACTTTAGAAAGTACATCTCTCTCAAGGATTAATCCAAAAGAAACTAAAATAATTAAGCTTCAGAAGATTTTACATATCAAAAGAGAGAAATAATTGGTTTTTTTAAAAAAACTGCTTCTTATAACAGTTCAAATGTGGGGCCAGAAAGACAGTTTGTTGAACAGGGTGTTTCTCTTCCAGGCAGCTGTCCTAAATTCAGTCCCCAGAACCTCATATGGTCCTGAGCCCTGCCAGGATTGACCCCTGAGCACAGAGCTAGGAGTAATTCATGAGTACCTCCTGGTGGGAACCAACATACATACACACACATACACAAACACACACACACAAGAAGATACCATTTCATGTCCAATTCTACCAAGCAACTCAACCGGCTACAGTCTCAGTGATGCCTGTAGTCTCTGGAAGTGGGGGATCCCCAATCCCGGGAGTGCCAGGATCTTTGATACCTGTGGGATTTATCACTGCTCCTGCTCCTGCTCCTACTTCTACTCCTACTCCTACTCCTTCGACCATGCCATTCAGAACGCTCCTTGTGCCTTCCAAAGTGGGTATCTGACCTTTGATCTTTGTCCCTATCCCTGTTCTTTTCTTCCCTTTCCTCCCTCCTACTTAAGGACCTGTGTTCCTGTTTGGGCTTCTCCTTCTTTGGCTCCCTGTCTCGGGCCTCTGTTCCAGAGTGGTAGGCTGTCCTGACTTCAGGGGAGCTGTGGTACTGCTTCAGCCCCTCCCTGGATTCTGACTTCTGAACCTTTTCAGAGTTCTTGCTGTTGAACTTTTTACAGTCGGGGGAATTGTTTTCCTTTAGCATCTTGCTTCTGGGTGGCGAAGAGCAGACTGGTGTTTCTGGCTGTACATCCCGCTTTTCTTTCTTCATTTTCTTTTTTTCCTTTTTGTCTGGAGATAAAAAAAAATGGATGGGAGCAACAAATAGGAAATGAAAAAATAAATAACTCTCCCCCAAAGTTCTTATTTTCTAAATACACTACATCAAATGCAGAAGTAGGAGTAAGCCAAAGCACCATCAGGTGTGACCCCCACCCCCCAAAAAATAATTTGAATTTGGCGTGGTGGTGCTTGGACGACCACATGGTATGCAAGAGATCAAACCCGGGTTGGCTGTGTATAAATTAAACACCCTACCCACTCTCAGTACTATTATCATCCAGTCTAATAATATGAATTTTAGTACTATATTAATATTCATGGCAAGACAGCAAAAACAGCAAAATTTATAAGATGAAGAGTAAAAATATCCCAACTGTCAATCTCCAATTTAAAAAAGATGAGATTTGAAAATGTCTTAGAATATTTTCTAGAAAGTGTGTATGCCCATCAGTATACTCTTTAAATTTACTTTTCTCTATGGGGAGTCAGATGAAATAAAATGAGTATCGGGATGGAGTAATAACGCAGCAGTTAGGGCGTTTGCCTTGCACACTGCCGGACTGGGTTTGATTCCCAGCATCCCATATGGTCCCCTGAGCACCACCAGGTTTAATTCCTGAGTGCAGAGCTAGGAGTTACCCCTGTGTATTGCCGGGTATGACCCAAAAAGAAAAAAAAATGAGTATCTATATTTGTATCTTGACATAAACTTAAGTTTACTAAGTCATTATTTCTTAAGAGTTTTGGTTATATGAATATTTTCTTTCTATTAGAAAATAAACTTACCTTTCTATGGTTAAATATACAGTTTTATTCATCAAAAAAAATTAAGACCACCTGGAATCTTTTTTGGTCATAACACTTTACCTTTTTTGTGTATTTTTGTGGGTTTGTCATCTTCAGAGTCCTCAGCTGAACTGTTTGAAGGCGTGTGAGCCCCACAGCCCTTCTCATGAAGTAACCTGGTCACATCATCCAATTCATCTGAGTCCTTAGGAGCCCGATAGTTAGACACATGATCCACTCGAATAGTTCGTCCTTTGATCTAAGACAGAAAGTCAATGCATCAGCAAAGACAGCTCTCCTTCCAAACTAAGTGACCCACACCAACTTCTTGCTAATTCTATCTCTGGGGAAATCACCAACACTGTTTCCCAACTGGTCTGTTTGAGCACTGTTTCCCAGCTAGCAATTTTCTCTGCTCTCAGGGCAACCACAAGCAGACTGAGGGCTACTTAGCCCCTGAGGCAAGTGCACTAGCATCATCGGTCAGTTTACCCCTGTGTGCCATACAAATATTTTTGTGCTCTATTGATGTCATGATACAAAAACATTCTGGGAATCTTTGTGACTATCTCACACAGATACTTTTGTTGTGAAACACAAACTCTGGGCAAACAACAAAATATTAATCACTCAGGGCTGGAGCAATAGTACAGCGGGTAGGGCGTTTTTCTTGCATGCAGCCAACCCGGGTTTGATTCCCAGCATCCCATATAGTCCCCTGAACACCGCCAGGGGTAATTCATGAGCGCAGAGCCAGGAGTAACCCCTGTGCATTGCCGGATGTGACCCAAAAAGCAAACAACAAACAAACAAACAAACAAAAATATTAATCACTCACATCAAACAAAAACATTTCATTTTTCAAGCATAGACTTAAAAACTCCTTTTTGATGGTGGGGGGTGTTGAACCACTACTGAATGTGCCTAGAAGATCATATAGGGTGTTCAGATCATAACCTTGGTCAGCCACAGATAAGGTATGAGCCCTACCTACTGTAGGATCACTTCAGTCCCCGAAACATGCTTAATTCTATAGTCATTAGGCACTCAACATTCCCAAAGTTTTGCTTTTATTTTTCCAATACAAGGTCTGATTTCAGTCTTACTTTTAAGTCTAATCTACCTCTTATCACCTATCCTATTTCCCATTTAAAAACATTTTTGTGGGGCTGGAGAGATAGCATGGTGGGTATAGCGTTTGCCTTGCACGCGGCTGACCCAGGTTTGATTCCCAGCATCCCATATGGTCCCCCAGGAAGGCCAGGCGTAATTCCTGAGTACAGAGCCAGGAGTAACACCTGAGCATCGTTGTGTATGACCCAAAGATGGAAAAAATATTTTCAAAACCATCCCTTCTTTGACTGACTTTGAATGTAGGATCCATAAAATGAAAACCTATAACCCTTTCCATGCTGTCCTCGTAACTACTTATTACTGGTGCAATCAGTGACAAATTCTCTAAGAGTCACTCTCCTGGGCTGGAGAAATACAGTGGCGAGAAGGGAAAGGAAAGAAACAAAGGTCTCCCTGGGTGGGTGGGGGAATAGCTAATACTGAGGAAGGAAAGAGTCCTGACTGGGGCAGAGGCCCATGTAATTGCTTCCTAGAACAATTTCCCCACACCCCTGAAACTTTTTATGTCTCATCCTGGTGGCCCGTGAGCCTGTCCGAATCAGGGGAAAAATAAAACCAAACCACTGTATCAGAAACATTCAGCCAAATCCTGCTTCATACTTATACTCACCTTGATGCCATTAAAATTGTCAACAGCCAGAATTGTGCTCCGCTGGTCTTCATAGCAAAGGAAACAGAATCCCTTGGATTTTCCAGTCTTCTTATCACGTACCAGATTTATGTTAACAATCTCACCATATCTATTTACAAAAAGAAAGCCCACACTATTTGAAGTAAAATGTTCAGAATGTATGACAAACAAAACTTAAATATTGACTATAAAAGACAAACCTAGAAACAGATGACAAATGAAGGTTAACTATAAAAAGTTATAGGAAGGATTTGACCCAGCAGTACCACTGCTGGGAATACATCCCAGAGAGGCAAAAAGGTATAGTCGAAGTGACATCTGCACTTGTTTGTTCAATGCAGCACTCTTTACAATAGCTAGAATCTGTAAAAAACATTAGTGCCCAAGAACAGATGATTGGTTAAAGAAACTTTGGTACATCTACACAATGGAGTACTATGTAGCTATTACAAGAATAAAGTGATAAAATTTACATACAAGTGGTACTACATGGAAAGTATCAAGCTAAGCGAAATGAATCAGAAAGAGAGGGGCAGACATAGAAAGACTGCATTCATCTGGGGAACATAAAGTAACAAAATAGGAGACTAACACCCAAGAATAGCCCAGATAAGTACCAGGAAGTTTACTCCATGGCTTGGAGGCCAGCCGCACACTCTAGGGTTAAAGGCAGCTCAGAGAAGGGAGCACCAAATAAAGGGTGTTGGGAAGATACGCCCAGGATGGGAGACATATGCTTAAAGTATAGACCAAACATGATTGCCACTCAATTCCTCTTTTGCAAACCACAGCACCCAAAAGGAGAGAACAAAAGGGAATGCCCTGCCACAGAGAGAGGGGGTATGGGGGGATGTGGGGTGGGAGGGATACTGGGATCAGTGGTGGTGGAGAATGGGCAGTGGTGGAGGAATGGGTACTTGATCACTGTATAACTTAAACACAAGCACAAAATCTGTAAGTCTACAACTGTACCTCATGGTGTTTCTCTAAGAAAAATTAAAAAATAAATAAAAATAAAAAGTTATAGGGAGGGAGCTAAAGCAGGACAGTGGATAGAGCTCTTGCCTTGCATGCAGTCAACCGGGTTCAATCCCTAGCACCCCATATGGTTCCTTGAGCCCCACCAGGAGTGATCCCTGAGCACCACTGCTGTGGCACCCCTAAACAAGACAAAAAAGTTATTCAAGGATATAATAGGAAATGTCCCATTTAAAAAGTGAGTGAAGAGAATAAAAGTGCCAGCCATAGAGGCAGACTGGGGAGTGGGGGGCTGGAGAGTGATGGGAGGGGAAACTGAGGATACTGGTGCTGAGAAATGTACACTGGTGGAGAGATGGGTGTTGGAACACTGACTGAAGCTTAATCTTGAACAGCTTTGTAAGGGTCTATTTCACAGTGATTCAATTCAAAAGAAAGTTAAAAGGTTTAAACATAGTGATAATAATTAAGATTCAAAATTCATGTCTCCCACCTAAATTAACGTACCCATCACTCCCAGGAGACATCCCAGAGCACAGAGCCAGGAGTAATTTCTGAGTAGAGCTTGGTGTCACTGGGACAACAGTATAGCTAGTAAGGTGCTTGACTTGCACACGGTCGACTCAGATTCAATCCCCGGCATCTCATACACTCTCCCAAGCACCACCAAGAATGATCCTTGAGGCCAAATCCATGAGTATTGCCAGGTGAGGCACAAAAACAAAAAACTAATATTTTTAATAGAGTCAGAAAAAGAAAATAGCAAACAGAAAACTCAGTGGTGAGTTCATTATATGCTTTGCAGGTAGGACACCTAGGCTCAATCCCTGTACAAAATGGTCCCCCAGGTACCACCAGAAGTAATCCCCCAGCACCAAGCTGGGAAAAGTTCCCAAACACCACTGGACAGGACCAAATAACAAAAAGAACAAATAAATATTGATGACTATATTATAAACATAATCACAGACACAGATTTCTGCCAAAATCTAGTACCTTTGTACCTTTAACAGAAAGTACTAAAAACAGCTCAAGTGATGTCAAGAACTATTTACCTATTTAATTGCTGAAGCAATAGCACAGTGGGTAGGGAGGGCATTTGCCTTGCATACAGCCACCCCGGCTTTGATTCCTCTATTCCTCTTGGAAAGCGCAGCAAGCTACCAAGAGTATCCAACCCACACGGCAGAGCCTGGCAAGCTCCTTGTGGCGTATTTGATATGCCAAAAACAGTAACAACAAGTCCCACAATGGAGACATTACTGGTGCCCGCTGGAGCAAATCGATGAACAACGGGAGGACAGTGTTACAGTGTAGTGTTATCTGCTAATGCAATTAAGGAGAAAACATAAATCAAAAATAAAAGGTGAAATGATATTTGTTTAAAGATTAGATGTGATTGTAGTATAGAAAACCTAAAATACTCTTAATTAAGAGCCCAAAATTTACTTAAAATCACAATGCCTAATTTTAAATAGGATATAGTTACAAATATACCACTTTCTTGAATTCAAACTGTAATCGCTTAGGAGGAGGAGGAGGAGGAGGAACCCCATTTACAGCTAGCAAGAAAAATAAAATTAAAAATAAACTTCAGGGGCCAGAGCAACAGTACAGTAGGGAAGGTACTTGCCTTGCAAGTGTCAGACCCGAATTCGATCCAAGGTATCCCAAATGGTCCCCTAAGTACCGCCAGGAAAAACCTCCAGGAGTACAGAGCCAGGAGTAAGCCCTGAGCATTGCCATGTATGGTCCAAAAACAAAAATAAATAGATACATAAACTTGAGGGACCGGAGAAAGAGTACAGTGGGTAGGGCACATACATGCCTTACATATATCCCACCTGGATTCTATTCCCAGTATAAGGTCCCTCAAGCACTGACAGGTCTAATTCCTGAATGCAGAGCCAGGAACAAACCCGAAGCACGCAGAGTATGGCAAAAAAATAAGTAAATCAATAAAAAATTATGAAAATGGACTTGAACAGGGATGGAGAGACAGTACACGGGTCAAAGCGCTTGCCTTAAATGTGGCAGACCTGGCTTAATCCTTGGTATGACATATGGGCCCTGAGCCCTGACATAAGGGGTCACTGACAACAGAGCCTGGAATAAGCCATGAGCACCATCAGGTTGACCCCAAAAGAAAAATGAAGTATAAATTATATTTTAAGTAAAACTTTTTATAACTCCTCAAAGAAACATAGATTAAAATAAATATAAAAATATCCCTTGTTGGGCTTAATGGCTCTAGGGTGAAATACAAAAATCTTCACACATTTACCTCTAAGAAAACATTTTGGATCATTTTTAATGCGTTATTCATAATAAGCAATACAAAATAAATTATCTAGTACTTGCTTTGAGGGCAGGCTTAACTGGTGGTCAGAAAATCCGAAATAATGGGGGTGAAAAGGTGTAATAGTGGTGGAATTGGTGCTCGACTAATGAATGTAATAAATTCTTGTGAACAATTTTATAAAAATAATATTGAGGAAAAATATACTTTGTTGTTGGTTAGGATAACCCAACATAATAAAAACACTAAAAATCCTTCTCAAAATTAATACATAAATTTCATTCAATTCCAGTTTTAAAATGCACACCTTTTTTCCCCTGGAGCAGAGTAAATTGTTTCCAACATTCTTGCGGGAAAATGAACATAAGAATAACTAGGGATGGGGCTGGAGTGATAGCACAGAGGATAGGGCATTAGCCTTGCATGTGGCCAACCCGGATTCAATTCCCAGCATTCCACATGGTTCCCTGAGCACCGCCAGGTGTAATTCCTGAGTGCAAAGCCAGAAGTAACCCCTGTGCATTGCCGGGTGTAACCCAAAAAGGAAGAAAAAAGAACTAGGAAAACTTTGAACAGCTTATATGATTAACTAGTTGGTACGTGCTCCTGAAGAGACAAACCAATAAATGAAAGAAAAAAACCAAGAAAGTTAAGGATATATGAATTAGTATACAAATATGTAAGGTTAATGTTTCAATTTGTGAGGGTAAATTAATAAACAGTGCTACAAAAAGTAGCCATTTGAAAAGACAAACTGAATCTGTATCTTACAAATATCCATAAAAATAAATCTAAATCGATCAGGGATTTCAATTTATTGCACTAAAATCATACACATAAAAAAAACCCAGATCGGTGGGTTAAGTAGAAACACTTATAATTGATTCCAAATGCAGAAACATGAAAGAATGATACACTTTACCATGTAAAATAATCAAACGGAGGCGGGGGAGGGGGTGGGGTTGGTTCTGAGTCCACCAGAAATGATTTCAGACTACTGAGTTAGAAATATCAACTCCTGAGCACCACTGGCTGTGGCCAAAAAAACAAAAGCAAAACCAGAAAACAAAAACCACATATGGTCCCCAGAGCATACCAGGAGTAATCGCGGAGTACAGAGCCAGGAGTAAACCCTAAGCACAGCTGGGAGTACCCAGCCTCAAAGGAAAACAGAGAAATAAAATCAAAGGCAAGACTACAAAAGGTACAACATGAAGGAAATTTGAGGGTAATGGAACTGATCTTCAGTCTAATTCAGGTGATGATTACAAAATTCTATGCACTAAAACTTATAGGAGGGGCTGCAGCAATAGCACAGCGGGTAGGACGTTTGCCTTGCATGCAACTGACCTAGCTTTGATTCCCAGCATCACATATGGTCCCCCGAGCACCGCCAGGAGTAATTCCTGAGTGCATGAACCAGGAGCAACTCCGGTGCATCGCCGGGTGTGACCCAAGAAGCAAAAAAAAAAAAAAAACCAAAAAAAAACCCCAAAACTTATAGGTGCGAGGAAGGTGGTTCGGCATTACAGCACATGTGAGGAGACCCTGTAATCAATACTTAACAAAAACTTTTTGTAAAAAAATGAACACCCTAAAAATGTGTTTTATCCTATAATAAATACCCACTGGTGCTCGGGGGTTACTCCTAGGATTCTTCTATGTTCAGGGCTCATTCTAGGCACTCAGGGGACCATCTGTGGTGCTGGGGATTAAAACAGGGTCAGCCACATGCAAGACAAGCACCTTAACCCTGAAGCTTTCTGGAAAAATAAAAAAGACTAAGAGATTTTTATAAATTACATGACAGATGATCAGGGCTGGAGCGATAGCACAGTGGGTAGGGCGTTCGCCTTACACGCAGCCAACATGGCCGACCCGAGTTCGATTCCTCCGCCCCTCTCGGAGAGCCCGGCAAGCTACCGAGAGTATTCGATATGCCAGACACAGTAACAACAAAGTCTCCAATGGAGACGTTACTGGGCCCGCTCGAGCAAATCGACGATCAACGGGAGGGCCTTTACCTTTACCTTTATGACAGATCAAGGAGGACAAAGCAATTTTCTCAATATGAGGTACAGTTGTAGACTTACAATTTTTTGTGCTTCGGTTTCAGTTACACAATGATCAAGTACCCATTCCTCCACCAGTGCCCATTCTCCAAAACCACTGATCCCAGTATCCCTCCCACCCCCAGCCCCCCATCCCACCCTACCTCTGTGGCAGGGCATTCCCTTTTGTTATCTCTCTCCTTTTGAGTGCTGTGGTTTGCAAAAAGAGACATTGAGTAGCAATCATGTTCGGTCTATAGTAAAAAAGACTAATATTTTTATAATTTGCATGACAGATCAAGGACCACAAAGCAATTTTTCTCCTACAAATAAAGAGATTATCAGCAAGCTGGGGAGATGGCTCAAAGGGCTGGTACACCCACATTGCATGCTGGAGATCCAGGTTTGATCACCAGCACCACATGGTCCCCTGAGCACCAGTCAAAACGACCCCGAGCAATGGACTGGGAATAGCCCCTAAGCACCACTGGGTATGGCCCAGAAACAAAAAAGGGCTTTTTGAGATTGGGTGAAAATGAATAAAACAGAAAGGTTCGATAATAGTTCTGTATCAGATTTGATTTCCTGATGGCAGTATTCTTTTGGAAAAACAAACTGAAGGATATTGGTACTGGGCTGGAGGGCAGCACAAAGGCACTTGCCTTGTGACTGGGGTTCAATCCCCAGCATCCAATGTGCTACCCCAAGCACTACCATGAGTAATTCCTGAGTGCACAGCCAGGAGTAATCCCTGAGCATCGCCAGGTATGGTCCAAACACACAAATCATGTCTTTCAACAGACGCTCTGATAATTCAGTAAAACCAGAAACCGTGAAAAAGGTGAAAATAGTAAAAAACAATTAGGTACAATGCTAAATTTCAGGGACTTGGCTAAGGGGATACCAGTTGCATTCCTTATATTTTATAATTTTTCTGTATTAGGTTTGAAATAAAAGCATAAAATACATGAACATGAAATATAAGCAGTATTTCAAGATAAAAATCAAAGAAAGAGTAGAGGAACCAGTTAAAAAGGCCTCTCTAGACCTTAAATTAAAACTTCTCAACATGGAAGAATAATGGCACAGTCCTAGCACACATCAAATTGGAGAAGGACACCCAGGAAACTTCAGTGGCAACTTTTGGCTGTGTTCAAGAAATCATATAAAGGGCCCAAATTTGAACCAGTATTGTAGCTAAAAAATGGTATGCAAGGCAAGGACCTTAATCTATGTATTCTGTCCAGCCTAATATATCACATTTTAAAAATCAATAAATACATGATGAAACCGGCAAAGCCGGGCAAGCTACCCGTGACATATTTGATATGCGAAACACAGTAACAAATGTCACAATGGAGACGTTCCTGGGCCGACTCAGACAAATTGATGGACAACGGGAAGACAGTGACAGTGACAGTGACATGATAAAATGATATAACAAAACTAATATCCATAATCTATCAAGGAGGCTTGTAAAATCACTAAGAAAATGAGGAACACACCACTAGAAAAAAATAGGCAAAATACAAAACATACTAAAAGGAATAATGACCTGTTGATCTATGAGGGCTGGAGCGATAGCACAGCAGTAGGGCGTTTGCCTTGCATGCAGCCAACATGGCCAACCCGAGTTGGGATTCCTCCGCCCCTCTCGGAGAGCCCGGCAAACTACCCAGAGTATCTTGCCCACACGGCAGAGCCTGGCAAGCTCCCCATGACGTATTCGACATGCCAGACACAGTAACAACAAAGGCTCCAATGGAGACGTTACTGGGCCCGCTCGAGCAAATCGACGAACAACGGGAGGGCCTTTACCTTTACCTTACCTTGATCTATGAAAAAGATGTTTAATGTCACTGATAGTGAACATAAAAGCAAAGTAAAAGAGTAAGCAAGTACATAGCAAAACTGAAAACATGAGATCTAGGGGCTGGAGCAATACCACAGCGGGCGGGGCATTTGCCTTGCATGCGCGTGACCCAAGTTCAATCTCCAGCATCCCAGATGGTCCCCGGGGCAATTCCTGAGTGCAAAGCCAGGAGTAACCCCTGAGCATTGCTGGGTGTGACCTCCCCCAAAAAAAAACATTATATCTAAGCTGTAACCACTGAAACTTTGTAATGTTCTTGCCAAGTTGACAGGTGGGGGATGGGGTGGGGGTTTCGGGGTTGTGGTGGGGAGGGAATATGAGAACACCAGTAGTAGGATTAGTTTTGAAATACATGTCTAAAACTCAACTGTAAATGACTTTGGAAACCACAAGTCTTTAATAAGATAAATTTAAGAAAGTCAATGGCAAATATTTTTTTTAAATAACAAATCTCTGCTGATTAGAATTCAGAAAAAAGGGACATTTCTATTCAGGCAAAATCACAATCTGACAATAATATAAATACATCTTAAAGTAACATTTAAAAGTTAGCAAAGAGGGACTGGAGAGAGAGGACAGCAGGCAGGGTGCTTGCCTTGCACAAAACCAACCCATCTTTGATCACCCCATATAGTCCCTTGAGCTCTTCAGAAATGATACTTAAACAGAGACTAGTGCAGCCTCAAAACTAAAAAAAATTTAATCAGTAAAGAGAAAATTGGCAACATTAATCCAATAATTGCACAAAGAAGAGCTGCATACTAAAATGTATATTATGGCTTAATTTACAAAAGCAAACTACTGAAAACATTGCCAACAATTAAAAGACAAGAAATCTACCAATGTGTTTTCCTGCTTCCCTACCCACTGTACTCTCTGGTCCTCCTTCCTATATTCTTCTCTACACCATTTTTTCACAAGTTGTAATTACTAAAGTAATTCTCTGATAATAAAAACAAAACTCTGTAGTGAATTTGCCAATATTTGCTTGTTGTCCTTAGCTTTCAGTCTCCAGATAAAACACTTTTCCGAAATTTCAAAGACAGTTCCATAACCCTCCACGTCCCTCACACTAACCCCGCATAGTCAACCACTCTGTTCGAACCCAATCCTAGACAAATGACCTAAATCAAAAATATTTTTCAAAGTCATTATTAATAATGGCAAAAGGTCTTCATGAAGAGCACTGTGGAATGAGAATTAGAATACACATACTAGTTGACCATCACTCAATAGAAACAAGACAAAAACATCTAGATCAATGGGTCTTGAACCACCAGTCCATGGACCAGTCTGAAGGCCAGTGATATTGAAGGATGCAGTCCTAGATAAGAGACTAGACCAGGAACAGATACCATGAAGAAATGGACATAATCATGGGATGTACCTACTGTGAATTTCCCCAACACCCAGAAGCTAGGAGGAAGACACCTCTATCGCTGCCAGAGCTCTCAGCCTGATTGGGGTGCCCAAAACCTATACCCATGGCTCACTTCTCATAAACATTGCCAAGTTTCTTTCCCATCGCCCACTAACCTCTATGGTACGCATCCCCTGAGCCAGAACCTACTGTCCCCTAAGCTGTCCAGCCACAGGAGATCTGGTCGGCTCAGTAACCTCACACTTATCTGTAAACAAAGAAAGCAAAGTACTACCTAAACCGTTTGCTTTTTCTCCTAAATCCTGTAAACTTTGCCCTAAGTGAAGAGTGTCACACAGGTGTGGGCCCAGGACTGTTATGCCTAGTTTGTAGGGGGTCAAAAAGTAACTCTGTAGGGTGACTGTAGCTCTCTGGGAGTCTTTTAATCTGCTCTACTGAAGGTCCTGGTTTAAAAGTCTAAATGAAAGATCAAGGAAACAGCCATAAAGAAAATACAAGGGGTACAGCCCTTCCCTTGAATGCAGCTGATGGGAGTTCAATCCTCAGCACCACACACAATGGGTGGTCCTCCAACCACTACCAAGAGTGATTTCTGGGGCTGCAGTGATACCACAGCAGGTAGGGCGTTGCACGCGGCCGATCTGTTTTAATTACCAGCATCCCATACGGTCCCCCAAGCTTCGCCAGGAGTAATTCCTGAATGTATGAGCCACGAGTAACCCTTGTGCATCGCTGGGTGTGACCCAAAAAGAGAAAACAAAGAGTGATTCCTAAGCAGAGTCAGGAGTAAACCCTGAAGGACTCCCCCAACGCAAAAAAGAGAACAAAAGCAACAGAAGCAGAGCAGAAGCCTCCAAGACAAGTTGCTGGATTTTACACACTGGGAGAGCCCTACATCTATGTCCTGGGTAGAACTAAAGCAAAAACTTGAATATAGCTCTCCCTGTGCAGAAATGCTAGTCAGCCTACAATTTGTTAGGAATCAAATTTTATCATTGTGGAAGAAAATGACACCGATAATCCAGAAAGGAGAAAATGAAAGCAGACTTACTGGGAGAAAACACAGATAACATCCCCTTCAGTCAGTTCATAAGGAAGTCCACCTAGAAGAGAAAAATCACATTTCAGTTCAAACACTGGCTAAGCATGCACCATGTACCAGATCTAGGTCTAGCCTTGAGGTTACCAAAAAAGAAGATCTGAACTCACAATCTGATAGAATACAATACATCAGTAGTATAGAAAATGTTTTTAAGTTAGAACATGGAAAGGTCAAGAAAACCAGTAATGTGGAGAATATTGTCTGTCATGGAGGCAGGGGGAGGGTGGGTGGGAAAGGGGGATATATCAAGGATATTGGTAGATGTTAATGTGCAGTGGTGAAGGAATGGGTGTTTGATCATTGTGTGATTGTAACTCAAACATGAAAGCTTGTAACTATCTCACGGTGATTCAATAAAATCAAAATACAACAACAACAACAAAAGAAAACCAGTAATGGACCCAACTAAATTTTCCTCAAACCCCCCAATTTTTTTTGTTTTTAAAATGTTTTGTTTCAATTATCTTGCCACATCCAACTATGCTCAAAGATCACTCCTAGAGGTATTCAGGGCTTCCGAAGTGGTAAGTGGTAAGCAACTAAGGAAAGCCAAGTTCAAGGCCTTACTCTAAGTACTATTGGTGTCCCTCAAAACCAAAACTTTGTAGACAAAGGAGGTAGTTTCCAACAACACAAATGTATCTTAAGATATATTATCAGCAGTTAAAGAGATAGTATAGCAGATGTTTGCCTTACATGTAGCCACCCCAACCTTGATCCCCAACACCCAGTATGATTCCCCCAAGCTCAGAGTGATCTCTGAATGTAGAGCCAGTAGAAACTCCTGAGCACAGCAAGTGTGGCCCCAAAACCAAAATATATGTAATATATGTGTGTATACATATGTATACGCATACATATATATGTTTGTGTTTATATACATATAAATAAAGTTGACCAGAGTCATACTACAGCAGGTAGAAGGGAAGTGGACATGAAGGGGAGGGGAAAAAAGGGGAGAAGGGGATGACAAAGGAAATGGGATGGGGGAAGAGTAAGAGGGAATGGGGGGTACAGAGGGAAAAAAATGAAAACCTGGAAAAAGAACAGAAATAAGGGTGCCGGAGAAATAGTACCGTGGGTACGGCGCTTGCCCTGCCCGTGGACAATGTCGAGTTCCCATCTCTGGCATACCATATATTCCCCAGACACCACCAATTGTGATCCCGGTGCATTGGGCCAGGAGAAACCCAGAAGCACCGCCTGGTGTGGCCCCCAAAATAAGAAGCAGAAATAAGTGCTGGCAGGGCTGGTGCAGTCGTGTAGCGGATAGGGCATTCGTCCCAGGTCCCTGAGGCTGACCCAGGTTCGATACCTGGCACCATCCCTGGACCATCCCATAGGTTCTGTGAGCACCGCCAGAAGGAACTGCTGAATGCAGAGCCCGGAGTGACGCCTGATCATCGCTGGGTGTCACTTAAACGAGGAGGGGGTAGGGGGGGCGGCGCGAGAGCCAGGGAGAAGACAGGCGGAAGGCTGAAACCCTCCCTGGAAAGCCAGGCGGCGGGGAACCCGAGGCGCACCGCGGCAGAACTCACCCAAGAAGATCCAGGCGCTGTCCTTGTACTCGGAGTGCCAGGACACCTTCTCCGCCACCCCCAGCTGTACCTCTCGCTCGTTGAGCTCGTTGATTAACTTCACTTTCGTCAACGGGCTGCGGAAGTTGCCACCGAGTAAAGAAACGGCCCGGCGACCGAGAGCGCTGAACTAGGACTCCCCTGGAATAGTCTCGGCGCCTTCTGGGCTTCACGACCCCCGCCCCATCTGACGCTTCGCCCCCCGCCCCGCGGCGACCCGCCCCTTCCCTCGGCTCCTCCCGCCCCGCATCCGAAGCCCCCAGCCCCGACCTCCCACACTCCACGGAGGACAGCCGGAGCCTTACTTCATCTTCCAACGGTTCCCGCTCCAAGATGCGGATGTAATGACTTCTGGCAAAAGCCGTTTACCGGTCACCCGGCTTCAGCGCGCAATCCCATTGGACTAGAGCTCCCCCGGAAGAGATCGTTCAAACCAGAAGAGATTATGTACGTCGGGACGTAACGCGAGGAACGCATGCGCATTAGTACCAGGACGTGTCTCACGCAGACTCTGACCGTGCCACACTTTTTTTTTCCTAGTCCCTCCCTTTCGCCTCTGAACCGGAAGTGCGAAACTGCGTCTGGTGCCTTCGACTGTATTCTGTAAGCCTGGAACGCTGATTACGTGCACCATTAGTATTTGCCAATTGAAAGCCGGGAAAAGATGCCTGATTCGACTCTTTTGATCCCAGCCTTTACTCCCGGTACAAAAAACCCTGTTTAGGTGACACTCAGCTACATATTGAGATGGGCTCATATCTAAAACATCCCTTGTCAGTGCTGGAGCGATAGCACAGCGGCTAGAGGGTTTGCTCTGCAGGCCGCCCCGGGTTCGATTCCCAGGATCACATATGGTCCCCCGAGTGCTGCCTGGAGTAATTTCTGAGTATATGAGTCTGGAGTGACTCCTGTGCATCGACGGGTGTGACTCAAAAAGCAAAAAATAAATAAAAAACAATAAAAAATGAAACATCCCTTGTCACTTGGACTTTTTATTGATGACTGGCTTTGATTCTATACTCTTAAAAAGGGGTTAAACTATATTCCCTGAAATTCTGAAATCTTGTAAATTAATTAATAGATTTTTTAAAGAAATGAAAGTCCTCAAACAAAAAATCCAGTATGGAACATTCAGAAATGTAAAAAAAGTTGTATAGCTGTATAGCAGCTTTTGAAAAAATCAATACTGGTCATTATAGTACAACCAAATTATGAAATGCTACAACCCATGAAAAATAACTATGCAAGCCTGAATGTATGTTTTGCGTGCCTCTTCCTGGAACCACTTACGGTCCTCTTGCATCAAACCCAGAATAGACCCAGAGTACTGACAGATGTGATCCCCCAAATAAAGCAATCTTCTAGGCTGAGGGTGCTAACTCAGTAGTAGACTGTTTGCCTGATAGGCGTGAGATTCCAAACCACAAGAGGAAAAAAAGTTTGCAAATACATTGCTTATAATGTGATCCTTAAAAAAAAAAAAGAAAGAAAGAAAACTTAACAGAGAAAACTGAAAGAAACTGACAGACAAAAACAGCACATTTGTAATTGGGAGATGCCCCGACTCCACCCCTCCACCCCCCTCCAGGGCTGATTAAAAGAAAAAAAGAACAGGAATTACAGCAGAAAAGGAAAATTTGAAAAGGAAAATTCTTTGTTGTCCCTCAAATCCATTTCATAGGCAACTTACTAATGTGACCCTCTATGCAGAATTAAATGCTCAGATTTATAGGAAAACTACTAATCATCTCTTTCCATGGTGTCTCTCACTCAAGTGAGGAACATAATTAAAATTTATAATTACATGTATTAATAGTAACTTCTATTAAGCTGATAATATGACAAGTAATGAGAGACTGCGGGCTAAGAAATTTACACATATTGGCCCTCAAACAACTGAGGTTCAAAGAAGTAGTTTGCAAGGTATTCTGCCTCAGCCTGTGAGGTCAGGTTGATTTCATCAGAATCTGCAGACAGGCATTTGAGCTTCAGTTCTCTGTGAATTAGATACATTTCACTCTAGAAATAACCAGGAACGAGTAGAAGAGATGGAAGCATATGTGATCTAAATCATATTGAAGATTTGAATTCAATTGGAATATATTTATGGCAATATCTCAAATCATAATGTCCTAAAAAATGAGGGTCGAGACTTGTGAAGGTCTAGCTCAGAGATGCAGAAATGAAGTCCTTCCGGAAGGTACCTCGAGGGGCTGGAGCGATACAGTGGGTAGGATGCTTGCACAAGGCCGACTGGGTTTGATGCCTGGCATCTCATATGGTCCCCCAAGCACTTCCAGGAGTAATTCCTGAGTGCAGAGCCAGTAGTAACTCCTGAGCATCACCGGGTGCGTCCAAAAAGCAAGCAAGCAACCAAGTAAATAAATAAAGGCACTTTGATAATGATGGTCATAAGGAAAACCATACCCTGAAGGGGCTCAGTGCCCTTCCAAGGAGCAAAACAGAGGCTGCCCACCAACTACAGTTTCTCTTAATTCATTCTATCTTTGCCTCTCACCCACCCCATCCCAGCTATTCATTAACTTTATAAAATTATCTTGGCCATGCAAACTAAACAGTGACAGATTGTGTATGGGTTTTATCTGCTCCTAGGAATCTTAGGTTGCTTAGTTGTAGGGTTAAAGTCACCACTGAAAAATTGTTAACTAGCATCCAGCACTATCTTATTGGTTTCTTTGAGTGACTAAGAAATAAGAGTTGGGGTTACAACCAGAGCCCTGGTCATAACGTTCAGAAGAAAAACGAAGCAAAAGTTAAGTGTCAATTAGGTTAAAGAGAACAAAAGAAAACTGCTATGAACCTGTTGTTGGGTTTAGCAGAAATACATTCTGAAGGCAGGAAAACTGAAAGGCACCTGGATTTGCCTGGGCCATTTCAATGGATGTCTGCAATTGATAGGAAAAGACAGATAAGAAAACACCTAGCTTTCTGAAAGTCCAAGTAGAAAAAGCATGGGAATTCAGAAGATAGCCTTATCTTAAAGGTCTGAAATGATAATTTGTATATGTCATCCACCGTAACCATCATTGATCTCCCCCAATAATATGGATTTAGTACCCATTCTATACAAAGTTCTCTCCTGTGGGCAATAAGGAAGCTGAATCCAATCCCAACATTTAAGGAAAGTCCAAACTACTTGTTCAGCAGAGTCATCTCTCCACTTCTCACCACCATACCACACCCCCAGACAGCTTTCCCACTTTCCATCAGTATTTTGACCCTTCTCCTGATAGGCCAGACTCACAAACATATATTACCTATTTGTCACTCAAAAATATTTAACCAATTATCAGCTCCTATTAATTATGCCATTGCATTATCTGTAAAATGAATTGCATCCGGTTACAGTCCTATTCCAAGTCATTATTGTATATGACTCCTAGTTCTTCTGGCACTCGCATCTGCAGCAGGCCCTATTCTTCAGCCTTGTCTCCCACTGCCCTCAACATGAAACCTCAATTCTGGCTAAGCTCCACTCCTATCCATTCCCTCTAGGGTGCCTTTCAGTATCCACCTAGACTCCTATGTTAAGAGAGTTCCATAAATCTATATCATTCTTCTCTCAGGTACTTTAGTCTTCCAAATTTCCATCACAGGAGAATACCCTTTCAGAAAGATTTTCCGTAAAAATGAACAAGTTGTGGAACACACCAGGCTGTGTTTAGAGGTTAATCTTGAGTGTACTCAGGGGTTACTCCTGGAGGGTTGTGGGAGACCAAATACGGTGCCAAGGGTTCAAATATAGGTCAGACAAGGACTCTTTTTCCAGCCCTGAATATATATTTTCTTTCCTCAACCAACCTTTGTCCCAAGCTGTGCAACTTAACCTGATGTTTACCTCTGCAGGGGTGGAGAGGACTCAGTGTACTGTCCCAATAAGTAACAGCCAGATCCTCAGCCTTAAGTATCAAGTGAAAATATAATTCTTCTCGGCATGAAACTCTAGCCAGTAAGAAGTGCAGCTAAACTGCAACCCAATCAAAGCAACCAGCATTGCTGAGAAAGCTTTGATTTTAGAGCCCTCTCCTGTATATAGGACTACAGAGGAGCAACTTTTCAGGATTTATTCTCCCCCCTCCTGCGCTGGAAAGTTCTTGCTCTCTACTGGGTTTTCTACTCATTTTGATGACAAACAATTTTGGCATCTAAGGTTGCCAATATCTTCTTTCCTGGTTTAGTAGGAACTCTCGTAGTATTTCAAGCGAATATCTCTAGAGAAGTAAACCCTAACAAGCAGCATTATGAGGAAACGTTTTTTATGTGTTTCCTTTATTAACCCCTTAGCACATTATTATTTTCCTATTGCTACTAAAACAAGTTATCATAAATTTATTGACTTAGAACAGCACAAATTTATTATTGTACAGGTTCCAAGCTCAGAATTCTGAAATCAGTATCGCTGGGATACAGTAAAACTGTGAAAAGACCAATGCCCAATGCAAAGAGCAACACTTCTTAGCAGCTTTAGCAAGACCGGAAAAGGCTTTACTGAAGTCCTGAGAATGGTGGGAGCAATGCTTAAATCTACCTCTTGTCCTTTTGTTTCAAGTAATCTTTATACAAGTAGAAAGAAGGCTTCACCATTTGTTTCTATTCCTTATAGTTTTCTGGACAAACAAGAGTGGGGGGATTGAGGTCATCTACCTTCCTGAATAACAGTGTAAAATGTTTTGGTCTATTCTCTCCAAATCATAATAATTTGTAGCAGCTCTTAAAATCCTCTAGCTGATTCAAAGATACAATGCAGAAAAACAAAGGATTGTCTGAGTGAGTTTCTGCATGTTTGTTCTCTACAAAACGATTGGAATATATTTAAGAAATCTGGAAAAGAGCTGCTTCAAGCCAAGAATGTGAAGGTTATTTTTGTCTAACCCAATTTATCAAGGTTGTGTAGCCAGGTCCCTTTAGAGCCATGTCAGATCAGTCTCTTTAGGTTTACAGTTTCAGTGTCTGTTGGTCTGGTTCCTCCTAAAGACTTTAGGGGAGAATTTGTCATCTTGCCTTTACTGGCTTCCAGAAACACTGTGCAGTGCTTGGCTGATAATTCCTTCCTTGCATCTCTTCAACCCCTTGCTTCCACTGACACATCCCTTCAAACAACCAAACAACTCACTCTAATCTCCTGTTTCTCTTATAATGATCACTGTAATAACAACATTGAACCAACCTGGAAAGTCCAGGCAACTCTTCCCATCACAAGAATCTTAATCACATCTGCCAAGTTCCTTTTGCCAACATAATGACAGGTTCCAGGGATTAGGACATGTTTACATTTGTTTTATTCTGGTTTTGGTTTGAGATCACACCTGACGGTACACAGGACTAACATGTCTCTGTGCTCAGGGATCACTTGCAGGAGTCTTGGAGATGGATGCCAG